TTATAAAAATTCCAAACGCTATAAAATTTGGGGAAACCCAAACAAAAATTCTTCAATTTTCTATATGTGACATTTGAATTGAGATAAGTTCCGTTCCAGAACCTAAAAGAATTACTCATTATATTTGTTTTGCAACTTTTTACTCGAAAACCGTACCTCAACCCACAAAACTGGTAAAACATTGAATCAAATTTAAAAGAGAGCACAAAACAAAATGGCGTTCTCTTTGTAAACTTTTTACTCAAGAAATTTGGCCGAGTAAAAATGGTAAACAGGAATACCTACTTCTGATTGGCTGTTATGTTGATTTTGAAGTGTTACCATATAATTTTGGCATATTTAGATTTGCGTTCCCGATCTTTTCAAATTATTTTGTACTCTGAGTGCAATTTTGAAATGTTTTACTAAATTTACTGTTAAAAAAGTACTGGAACAGACAAATACTGCAAGAATCTACTATTTTTTACTACCATAACACTTTTTTCCTTTATGATATCGGAAAAAATAGTAAAAACTCGTAGATTCTTGCAATACGGGAACAGACCAAATATCTTCAGAAAAAATGGAAAACATGAATTAAAAGTAAGTAGATATGGGTTCACACTATAGTCAGGAAAACGAGAATTGTTTTTTCTATTTAGATCTATATGGGATTCAATATGTTATAATTTTGGTGTGAAACAAGAAACAAACAGTTTGAAATAAAAAAAAAAAAACTCTGATGACATGAATTAAGAATAGTGTTGTATGAACGAGTTAATTCATGTACGTAATTCTGAGAGCGAACTACGTTATGCGAATGCCCGTCAGAACATTAATGATATAATTTAAAATCTACATTTATTGTGGATTCAAAGTATCGCTTTGCGAGTGTTAAGTTTGTTCTTGTTTACCAATATTCCATATATTGGACAATATTCCATATATTGGACAATATTCCATATATTGGACATAAAAGATTTAATTAGTAAGTTCCATGGTGCAATAATACAAGGTAGCGCAGCTTGAGGTGAATAATAAAAAAAAAATCAACTATGCACGTGTGGCTTCTTCTGCCAAAAATAAAAATCCAATAGGAAATACCATCAAATGTTTGTTTCATCCATAACAAAGTAATTACTTAAAGACGAACGTGTTAAAACATAATTTTCATTTCAATTAAATTTGAATATATTTCAATTTATTTTGAATTTATTTGACATAGTATTCAAAACAATACACACACATACACAAAATATGTATTTTGATTTGATGGAACAAGCCACCTTGAGAAAAAATTGTAATCAGTTGGTAGCTGTGCCCCACCTTGTAATAATTATACCATGGTAAGTTCTAGTTTATAGAGAAAGCAGTATTTACTTACTTTTGCGATAATACTCAGAAAAGTAAACAGTCAACATTTAGCAAGATTCAGCAAATAAACAGCTGATTCAAGAAAACATTTTGTTTGCGCCAAAATAAACAAACAAAGGACGAACACAATTATTTGTATTGCATCAATTTGAACTTTGCAAATTAAAAAAAAACTTTTGAAAAATGTTTGTGGTTGTTCAGAAAACAGCAAATCCAATATTGGCTGAGTTTGCAAAATCTTACTGTATAAAATTCTTTCATAAACTCCAGCATGTTATAATAATAAAAGGTAACAGCAAGTGTTGTTGTACAAAAAACGATACAACAACCACATGGAAATTTGTTGTTGTAAGTTCTACTAGTGTCAACTCATTTGACAGAAAAATGTAAACAAACAAACAAATTATCATCAAATTATTTTTATTTTGAAAATGAAATATTTTCGAATCCTCAAAATAAAAATTGAAAAACATGAATGAAAATCTATCAAATTTATATTTCTATCGCTTTCACATCTTTTCTTTAATTGAGCCATTGCCATATATATGGGTAACACATATGACAATGCTGGGAATAGCGAGTTATTCCTTCAAGAAAGATTTGCTTCCTCAAACTTTCCCAGCAGGCAGATTGAGTAAATTGAATCCGGGAGCACATTAATAAAGAACAATTTCAAATTGTATGCGTTCCTGTTGGGTGATTTTTAAAAACATAATTTGTCAAATTCATATTGACACTAGTATTACGTTGGAATCAAATCAGCTGGGATTTGCTGTTACCTTTTATAATTGTACCATGAAACTCCAGTAAGTTTATTGTTGTTGAATGTCAAACTTGCTCTCTCAAGGCCCGTAGAGTTAAACAGGGAGTTCCCCAAGGAGGGGTGATATCTCCGGAACTGTTTAACCTCTACCTCTCTGGAATTCCACGCCCACCGGACGGCATAAATATCGTGACTTATGCGGATGATTGCACGATTATGGCGTCAGGACCTAAAATTGATGACATTTGCGAGAGGCTGAACCACTATCTCGTGGATATCGCTGATTTTTTTCCGGTCGAGGAATATGAAAATATCCGCCACTAAGTCAACGGCCACACTGTTTACCACGAAGGGTCCACAATTCCGACCACTAATTACCCCAAGGTTCTAGGGGTCACATTCGATAGCCTATACATGTCGTCCGCGCATGCCACATCTATTTGCGATAAAGTCAGGAGCAGAAACAAGGTTCTCAAGTCGCTAGCCGGCAGCACTTGGGGAGCTGACAAGGAAACCTTGTTAACGACTTATAAAGCAATAGGCCGGTCTGTGGTAAACTATGCGGCGCCAGTGTGGTCCGCTAACGTCAGTGCAACGCAGTGGAAAAATCTTCAATACTGCCAGAATGCTGCCCTGAGGTCTGAAACAGGGTGTCTCCTCATGACTCCAATAGACCACTTGCATGAGGAGACGAAGATTCTTCCTGTGCGTCAACACAACAAGATTTTGTCGATGCAATACTTGCTTGGGTGTTATAGGAGCAGCCATCCGAACCGCTACCTAATGGATAGACACCCACCACCCAGGCATGTCAGGAAGGATCTCCATGATCTGGAGAGAGGTCCAGAGGTACAAGAGGGAGCCTCTAGATCAACAGGCCTATCAAGCAGGATTGAACAGTATTCACACGGACGCAGTTGAGGAAGCAGTTCAAGAATATCGCGTGAATTCCATCCTCGGGGACCATCCGCCTTTGATAGCCGCAGAAGAGCAGCAGCGACCTCGACAAACTAGAGTGGTCTTGGCACAACTGAGATCTGAATGGTGTAGCCGCCTCAATTCGTATTGGGCACGAATTGATGGAGAGGTCGACAATGTCTGCCCGGCATGTGGTAACGGACCACATGACATGCAACATCTGTTCAACTGCCCAGCCAAGCCCACTCACCTAACCCCATCTTCTCTCTGAACCAGGGATGGTCCGTGTAACGAATTTTTAAGTTTTCGACTGTCAAAAAGTCATATACCTGTATAAAATGTAATAAATGTAGTAAACGCCATTCATTTCAATTTTTTCGCCAGATACAGTTATTTTCATGAATATATATTTTTGCGTATATCTGATTATTCCTTCATAGTCCTGACAAAAAATTCTAAGCTTATTTGAGTTATTTTTTTTTTTTTGAATTTTGATATGCGTTTAATTAAAGCATGTGTAGTTTCCATATTGACTAATGGAAAAACTCTTTTGTCAAAAACCTAATGGGTTTTCATGGGTTTCCGACGTTTCAGGCGTATGTATTATACGTCGGAAATGTATGTCATTTACGTCACTTTTTCTGACTGACCATCACGTCTCTGAACTCAACCTGTACAGGTCGCAGCCTTTCTGAATTTGGAGTTGGAGGCAGAACCAGATTGAAGAAAATTGAAACTACACAGCAGTACTAGCTGCTACAACAACAACCAAATATCAAGTAAACAGACACAGCTAATGTCATCAGGAAAAAAATTGGTGTTATTCTTGTGTTCAGAGGCAAATATTTTTGAAATATTTATATTTATTAATATTTTTAAGTTCCCTGCTTATAAAACCTATAAAATTCCTTATTAAATCTTGAGAACAATGTGGGGCAATGTGCGTAATATGTTATGGAATTTATTTTCCATTTTATTTGAAGTTGATATCTGAATTCGACATTAAGAAGGGTTGCCTTTATCAATTTCTCAAAGAGACTACCTTGTATAGTTATGCCATGGATATGAGTACGTAATTTCCAAATTGATTAATGGAAATTGATATTTTGTATTATACGTCGAAAATGTATGTAATTTACGTCACTGTTTGTGACGGCTCATCTCTGGCTGTGCCCTACCTTGTAATAATTATACCATGATTTTAAATACAAATTTTATTTGAATATGACAAAATCAAGTATGTATAGGGTTGTTGGGGTTGCCATCATCGATTTAGCAAATGAGACTACCTTCAATAATTATGTCATGGCATATTTTCAATAAATTAAACAAAATATATTTTCTAAAACTGAACATTGCTGTCAATATTAAACCTAGGTTGATAAAACTTTTTTTTTTAATTTTTAAAGGCAGGGACATGATATACGTACATTTCAAAGAAAGATATTTTTCATTTAAATTTTGAAATCTGAATGCTGTCGAAGGCAAATTTATGAAAAAATTGGAAACATATGACTGCGTTCGACTACCTTGTATAATTGTGTCATGGTACGGACAATGATGCAATAATATGGTGATGTGTCAAAACATTTGTTTTTGTCTCGACCTTCTGTCTAATTTTTCCTATTTATTGTGCCATGGTACAGATCTAAAATAATGAAAAAAATGGAATCATAAGTCCTCATATGACTATTTTTTCTATTTCTTCTATTTTTTAAATTAGCTATTTCAGACATTTCAATATAAATCAACTTTTGTTAAATCTGCTGACAATAAGTTTTTCATATAGAAGGTTGATTGCCACCAATCGTAAATGTTTGTCTCCACTTCTGAAAAATTATCCCCAGTTTTGGGAAAAATGCGCAACACTGGCAAGGCAGTTTGTCAATGCCGTAGTAAACCATTTTGTCGGCGGTGATAATTAAACAGGAAACTATGAGTTGGATACAATTGTTAGGAGATACAGGAATTTTATTGTGCCTAAATGTCCGACATAATTTGGAGTATAAAGAATGGAGATCTGGATCAAGTCCAGTCATGCGTAGCTGAAAAGGTAATTATGAAACAAAATAAATGTTCCCTTTTCAAATAACTAATTTTCTCTAAGAAAACTGAGTATATTATTCAGCTGACTAATGCTTATCATGGGTTTTGATGAAATTTACGACAAACTGCGTCAGTTCCCTGATCATATACATTAGGTTACGGGGCTTAAGTTGAGTTTAGGGGCTCATCTCCGAAATTTTTCCTCGTCTCCCTTATCACGAAAATATATGACATTCATGGGGAAATCCATATTTCCCGAGATGTGGGCCTCTGAAGTTCCCGAATTATTTATCTCATATCTTCGTCATTTATGGACCGGTAATATTGGCGGATTTTCAGAGAAACATGTTTATTTAAAAGAAAATGTCGATCGAATAGCCGAATTTTCCATCTGTCCATAGGAGATAGTTTTAAATCCCCGGCCGAAGGCCGGCTTTATATGAAAAATGTTGATATAAAGGAAATTTTTATCGCGTAACCAAATTTTCACCTGTCCATAGGAAAAAGTCTTAAATCCCCGGCCGAAGGCCGGCTATTTAGAAAAAAATAGTTTAAAAGTGTTGATGCGTTCAATTTATTTCAATTCAATTTTATTTAACTCAAAGCCTTCACTCCCTATATATATATATATATTAATTACTCCAGATTTATGCATAGACATAAGAGGTATTGAAGAACAGCGTGGACACTGCATTTGATTTCTCAGATACGTTTTTACTCGACGTAGCTCATGCTGTGGTTGTTGCTGCAGCCCTATTGCTTTTACACAATGGGCTGAGGTGATAGACGTTGGCCGAGAAAGACTCGGGTCGTTTTAGATGGTAGAACCCTCTGTCGTGGTTACCGGTATCGTTATTAAGATTTGTAACAATATATTATTATTTGACTGCAATCGCATCAAGTGGATTAGATTAGGTCGGGGTACTTTTGCTTTCCACATAGTGTTCCACAGATCCACTTTAGTTTATACTTCTGCTTACAATTTCCAAAATTTGGCACTGAAAATTCTACCCCAATTATGTCGGAAATAATGTTTGTTTCCTTGTATAAAATTTAACTTATAAACTACTTAATAATGTGTTTCGACAATATCCAGTTAATAGTCTGAAGATACAGAGACAATTGTAGGGCTTATTCAATTAAACGGCAGTCGTATGTTAATATTAATTTTGAAAGTGTCGAGATACGAATATAATACTACAGCTGTATGTAATAAAAATGGTTAGATCTTCTGCATGAAGTATCAGACCTTTTGGGATATTTCTGAAAGCAAATGAGCAATAATATTTGAACGGATTTATATTTATATTCAAGCTTTCACTATAATGGTCAGAGATGCCAACACAATCACAATATTTTAAAAACTACAAATATGTTTACAAACACATACATGTAAATTTGTTCAATATATGTTAGGCAACTTATGCGAATTCTAATGGAATTAAACAATTTTTTTTTGCAAAACTAAACTAACTTAAGGGACCCCCCATTCTCGGGGTCAAAATTTTTGTTGATATAATTCGAATCTATACTAATTAAAGAATGTCTCTACAAAATTTCAAGTGAAAATCTCAAGAACTCTTGAAGATATAGCCGATTTATTATGTCAGCATCAAGTGACGGCTGAAGGGCTTCTCAAACTTTAAACGCGTTTTTCTCTAAACATTTTTTTGCGAATGGCGGGCACGATAACTAAAAATTAATAATCCAATCGGTTCCAAATTTTACAACGTTTCTCTGGGAGTGTATAGCTCTCGTATGAACTAGGATAAAACCAATCGGTGAAGATCTTCCTTATTTTTTAACTTGGTTTTTGGTAAAAAATCGGCGATTTTCTAAAAATATTTTTTCAAAGGTCCACCATTTTGTTAATTTTAAAGCGAAGTCAATAATCCTAGTTCATACGAGAGCCAGACATGTACTCTTTCTAACACCGTTGGAATTTTCGGATTCCGATGTTCCAGTGAGGAGTTATCATGCCCGCCATCAAAAATAAGGACTTTTCTTTATTTACAAAAAACAACAACAAAACAATAACAAAAATTTTTTGTAAATTATTTTTCTTCTCTTTTAAATCTTCAATTATATATGTGCAAAGTTACAAACCTTAACAAGCATTTGTATTCATTTCCAAGCCCATTGAAAATCTTGAAAAATTAAAATCGAGAATGGGGGGGTTCCCTTAAACAAAATTTGGGACCCATCGTGGAGATAAAAATTGTATAAAGTTACTGTTGAGTAATTTTTGTCGAAATATTTGTTTTATTTCTTATTAAAAATAAACGTAAATCGTATAGAAATAACATTAATCTATAGAGATTACATTATAATTGCATTCACATACTTTTCTCAATAATTACAGAGTTCTATTGTGAATGCGGAATACAATGGAAGATATCCAATGCATTATGCTGCAGACTATGGTCAGCATGAAGTACTAGAATATCTTATTGCAATGGGTGCTCATTTAGATGTAAGTATGGACAATTTAGATAAAACCCTTAATATTTATCTTAATACTACTTCAGGTAAAAGATAAACACGGCATTACGCCGCTTTTAGCTGCAATTTGGGAAGGACATACAAAATGTGTAAAATTACTTCTAGAAAAGGTATGTATGTAAATTATATATATATATATATATATATTTCGTTTTATTATTCAGGTTTATTCAATTTTCAAACATTTTTTGGAAAATTGATGAATGAAAAGTAAAAAAATTGTCTAGTTATTATATATGCAGCAGGATGTAAATTTTGTTATCTACATAATGCAATATGAATTTCTTTCCCCTTGGTTCTAATTAGCGTACAGAACAAGAAACAAATTTGGGGAAACTCAAACAAAAAATTCTCCAAATTTTTATATGTGACATTTGAATTGAGAAAATATAAACATTTATGAAAACAACAATATTTTCAGAAAAAATGGAAAACATAAATTAAAAGTAAATAGATATGGGTTCATACTATAGTCAGGAGAAAGAGAATTAATTTTTCTATTTATATCCATATGTGATTCATGCAAATATGTTAGAATTTTGATGTAAAACAAGAAACAAAAAGTTTGAAATAAAAAACTCTGATCACATGAATTAAGAATAGTGTTGTATGAACGGGTTAATTCATGTACATAATTCTGAGAGCGAACAACGTTGTTCGAATGCCCGTCAGAACATGGCATAGGAATAACAATTTTTAAGGTTTTCCTATAATTGGCATATGGGTGAATAATAACCAGGGATGGTCCGTGTGACGAATTTTTAGGTTTTCGACTGTCAAAAAGGTGTAAACATCGAAAACGTTATATACCTGTATAAAATGTAATAAATGTAGTAAACATCATATTGTTACCATATACAGTTACTTTCAAGAATATATATTGTTTTTACATATATCTGACTATTTCTTACTAGAACTGATACAAATTTCTAAATTTTTTTGAGAAGAAAATATTGAAATTTTATATGGAGTTGAGAAAACAATGCGTAATTTCCAAATTGATTAATGGAAATAGCTATTTTGTCAAAAACCTAATTGATTTGGGTAGGTTTCCGACGTTTCTGGCGTATGTATTACACGTCGGAAATGTATGTCATTTACGTCACTGTTTCTGACAGGCCATCTCTGATAATAACCACCATTTCGATAATTTTAGCTCAAAATTGAAAAAGAATGTTACATAAGTGCTCAAATACCGATTAGTTTATAAAAAAATCAGTTTTGAGTGCTTTTACATAATAGAAGACATGGTTTTAATCTTAAATTCTTTTAACCTCTGAAATTCCCAATTTAGCCATACAGAGAATTGGATAACAGGTTCCCAAAGTCGGCACCATGTTTTATAATTGTAATATTTTAATAAATAAAATTATTTTATATAAATTTTTCAATACAACACTGATGGATCGTCCGATAATAATTTATTAATGGAAATAACAGAAAAATGATTAAATATACAATTTTTGTTTATCTAAAATGCGATATGCAGACTTTGGTAACATGAGATGCCGATAATTCGAAAAAAGTGCCGACTGTTGGCAAAAAAAAACATAATTTTACCTAATTGCCAATTTACACAACTTTAATGCAAATTAATTCAACAATTTTTTAGTGCATCGGGGAGTAAACAAAATTTCGAAACAGATGAGCCTAAATACAATATAGTGGAAAAAATGCATTTGGGTGAAACGTTTGAAATGCGAAAATCCCTATATCTTTTATGTTTTTATTATACATTATAGGGTAATATATTTTATGTTTTTCATTCATGATTTTACAAAATAAAATTGAACAAATAACTTACATATGTAGTAACGTTCGTTTGCATTTATTATGACATGCAAAAGGACGTAACTGCAGAAAAATTGACTTTTTGTTTGATTATTGTTCGTCTAATCAAACTACATGTTCACACAAAAATTTAGACATCTAACGTCAAAAACAGCGATATAATTAAAGAAATTCATACGAACGTAACTACACTCCTGTAATAAACTAAAGCTCGCAATGTTGAAGATAGAAATTCTGAACTTATATTAATGTTACTTCTGGGATGTTTGATTTTGAAAATGAGATATATCAGCCAATTTTCTACGGTAGCCTCCATATAGCGGTACCCCAAAATTCGGTATTTTAAGGCCTTCATTTTTTAACTAATCAGCTATAATTAGGTTTTTTTTTGTTTCCCACTGGGTGGAAAAGTACGCTGTGCAAAGTTCTATCGCTATCGGAGAAATATTTAATGTCTTTAGTGCAACATTTACATAAAATCGGTGGAAACTGTATATGGGAGCTATATCGAAATCTGAACCTATTTTCACGAAACTTTACACACTTCACTCTAGAATGAATACAGTACAGTAATTTCGAAAGAAATTAGGGACTTTAATGCACCATCTACACAAAATCGGACAAAAATATGTGAGCTATGCTAAATCTGAACCGATTTCAACAAAACTTAACAAACGTCACTCCGGACCTTTTATTAAAAAAAATATATATTTTTTTTTTCAAAAAATAAATACGGCCCTATAGTGCGGTTAAATTTTGAAAAAATTTCCAGCCATGCTCCATTTTTATAGATTTTATTACGTTTTTTACTTCTCCTGTAAAATTGGTAGAAGTGTAGTTACGTACGTTTTCATTTATGATGACGATATACTGTTACATTTTTATTTGAGGTTCGTACCTAAATTCATGCGTATGCGTACAATTTTATTCACCCCAAAAGTTAAATACATGTATTTCAATGAATGTTACCCAAATACGCATTGCGCATAAAAATATAAAGTTTGCAAATTTTCAACATTATTTTGGATTTTTGAAAATTTCCAGAATTCCAGTCATTAAAAATGTTATTTTTCTATAAATGTAAACATTTTTCGGTTAATTAAGAAATTGTTTTCATCAATTTTAGCCGTTTTCAATTGACACACAAGTAAATAAGGTCCTTGCGTATTTGGGTAATAGAGATGTTCAATAAACCCTAGAAAGTACGCAACGCACTGAATTTAGGTACGAGCCTGACAATTTTGAATACTCAAATATTTGATTGTATTTGGGTATTTTGTTTTTATCTCTCTTTCAATTCACATTTATAGAACACTGTTTTAAAAATATACATTCAATTTGGTACTTTTTCAAATGTACGTCTACATTTTGTATCGAACGATAAGTTATTTGTTATAGCCTAGACAGACGAAAGCCTTAATTTGCATTAACAGCCTTAATTCAAATTAACTTCTACATTATCCTAATTTTTAATGCACAAAATCAAATTGAATTTATACTGAATTTAGCAATTTCAATATGACAATGCTATTGAAAATCAATTGATTTTTGTCAACTTTGTTTATGTTTATGAATATAAAAATGAGAATTAAAGGCAAAATTCATTCTTTCATCATAACTGTTATACTTCCTTTTTTGCTTGTATCTATTTCATAAAGATGTTATCCCCAAAAGCATTGAAAACAAATGTCAATACGTTCTTCCTACACACCGAAACAAAAAACTTTTTTAAAAATACAGAAACTCTCGTTTGTCAGGAGTAAATATTAATTCAAATTTATTTTTTTTATGCAAATTAAGGCAGTTGTCTGTCTACGGTATTACCAAATCTGATTCGAGTGACAAGATTAAAAACTACTCCAAATAGGTTCAATAATAATAATTGCTCCGTAAACAGTATATGTTTTAGAAGAAATTGATAAATTGACAGGCAACAAATAAAACAATGGTCCGATACACCATGAATAAACCATTCTTACTAAAACTTTTCGACCACTGTCTGGCATTTCAACAAACAAGTACTCATTACTGCCTTCTTCACAGCTTTCAGAAACAGCATTATACAGTCGAGAATGCTTATAACAAACACCGGTTATAACGAACTTTATTGCAAACACCTTTCCTGGTCCCAATGTTTTGAGACAAAAAGGACACAAAATCTATCAGTTTCTAACTGAATATATTTTTCTTTGTGTTAAGCCCATTGCCTTACCTTGGATATAACGAACTAATTTGCTTGGTCCCTACTAGTTCGCTATAACCATACTCGTCTTTTAGCGAAATCAAAATGAACAAATCAAGGACGTATCAAGAGCAAAAATATTTTTGTTGAAATCGAAATATTCTCAAACTCAAAAAATAACCATGAGGGAGAAAACCACGCCTACAAAAATTTTACGATCACTGACTAGCACTTCAACAAACAAACGCTCATTATTGCTTTAAAGTATATTTACATATACGATTTTAAATCAACTCGATTAACGAAATCCAGAAATACACCCTCATTGTTTACACATACCTTTAATCATGATCTAAATGTCAATCTGCTGAGGTTTGTTAGTATACATACAAAATTATTAATTTTCGCCAAAAATATTTGTTTGCATTTTGAAAATGAAAAGAAATATTGCAGCAATGGATTTTTTTTGCAATGCTGTAATCGCTTGGAAAATAAAAAAATCACCTAAAAACACAAAACTTCTATAAATAATTTTTGTTAAAACAAAATATAAAAACAAGCAACTTGTGAAAACAGTTGAAAATTTTGGTACATTGTGGGATAGTTTTATTTTTTTAAACATATTTTAGAGCTTTCAAAAAAGAACAACGATTAACAAAGATTGCCCCGAAAGGGGATCACTCTCTTTCGTTTAAAAAAGCGTTCGTGTATTTCGAAAGCTATCGTTCGTTTATCGTTACGTATACCAAGCGAAAAACAACTAAATTAAATGTAAAGTTTTACAACAATGTTCAATAAATGAGAGTCAAATGGGAAATGAAAACAAACCACACCAAGGTCATCCAGTAAGGACAGCTGATATCAAACTATGTTGTTTTAATTTGAATTTCAATAAAAAGGCATAGTATACATACACAAAAATTTCGAAACGGATTTTCTATTCAAAAATGAGTTTGTTAAAATATGAAAAATATATTTCAAATCTTGGAAAAAACAATTATCAGCAGTGGTATCTGCTGGCTTTGTGAAAACCGCTTAATGTTGTTATTCAGTTAGCGGCATACACGAGTAAGTATACATATCGCTGGCTTAACTTGTAAAGGCAACAAGTCCAATTTTCGAAAAATTGTGATTTTGATAAAGTTATGTATAAAGAGGCAAAATACACCGATGTAAAAAATAAGAAGAGAGTTATCTCATTTGTTATTGTTGTCGCTGGCTTAACATCATGTAAAGGCTATAAGTCCACTTTTTATTTTGACGATTTTGGACATGATTTTCAGCCGAATTGACTGTAAATTGGTAATTTAGGTACTTATGGGGTAGCTCACCTTCCAACAAAAACTTATCAATATTGGTCCACTTTTTAGGGTACCGCCCATATACCGTTATCCGCAATATTCGACCTGCCTAAATAGCGACGTTTTTACCTGTTTTTTTTATATTTTTGAATTATTATTCCAAAACAATCTTTACTCTTTTAGATAATATTAACATGTAAAAAATCAAAATTATAGCAGTAATTAGAAAATATGATGATAGACAAGTTGTAAGAAAAAGACCTAAGTCCATTAAAACATGCAAACTTAGCGACAGAAAAAGCTCTAAGTCCCAAAATAGGCGTGTATCTCCGCAAATACTTATTTTTTCATTTTTCCTTTACGAAATTAAATTACACATACAATGCAAAAACAAATTGCATTTACAGATTTAAAAAATCTTTATTCAAAACAAAGTTTGATTGTTTTTGTCTCTCCTGAAAAATTGTGAAATGTGGACTTGCTGCCTTAACAAGTTACGCTAGCGATATGTGAAAATGAAATCCAATCTAACAGTAAAAGATGTTCTCATATTTTATTTAAATTAAAATTTATTGAGTTTTGACTATTTTCACAAAATGTTTTATATATGTTGAATGTAAAAACATACCATTTCATTTTAGGGTGCAGACAAAAATGGAAAAACTCCTGATGGAAAAAGTTATGTAGAAGCTGCAGAAAAGGATGAAATTCGAAACCTACTACGCTGAGCACCGCTATATAGACAATATATAATTTATTTTAATGCAGAAACTTTAATGAAAAAATATGACTAAATTTTAATTGTCCAATCCAATATTATATGCAGAATTTAATAATTTATATGAACGAGCTACTGTATCAGTCAATCTAATCCACTGTAAGATATGCCGTACACAAACTTCGATTTTGTGTAAATAACCATTTGCATTTGTAATACTTTAGCTCTTTCACATTTCTTTTTAATAAAAATATAAATTATTTAAAATTGAATGACACATTTTATTATTTTATTTTTTGATCGTTCCCACGGATAATCCCAACGGAGAAGCCTCTCAATTATCTAAATATAAAGGCATGTGTGATGTATTGCTGATACTGCTGATGTATCTTTGCATGGTCTCTCATCCATAAATCATAACCCATCGGACAATATTGAACGGGTTGGAACTAAAATAATGTTAAACATAAAAGAGCGGGTTTTGGTCAAAGTTCGAGTAACGAGTTGGACGAGGTAGTACATAAAAAATGGATTCATTTATCATCGTTTAAACCTACTGTTGTTGCTGAATATATAATTTCATACGCTGAAAAGCACTCTAGTATATCTAGAAATCACTTAGAGTGCTATGAGCTTGTTTAAGCGATACAAACATGGATGAACTGAGAAGTGTTCATTTCAAATTGGGCGTTACAACTGATTAATATAATGAGATCTTTAAGTCTGGCCATCGAATGAGAGAGTGCGGCCATTTCATAATTTTCCCAGGGTCCAACAGGAGCAACCTCCAGTTTAATCAACCATAGCCTTGCCTCTACTAAAATATATTACCAAAATATGTATGGTTTACGAATTAAATCTTCTGATATTTTTGTGGAAACGTGGCTTAATCCAGATTTTTATGATGGTGAATTCTTTTAATACCAAGCTGTACAAATTTTATCGTAAAGGTCGAGACATATTAAACAAGGATTTAATTCCGTAACAATAAATTTGCCCAATAATGACAGTTTATTGGACCTACTTTGCGTTCGTATCATCGGTGCTTCTAAAAAGAAATTTTCAAGTGATTTTCCAATCCCAATGGTGCTTAATTGGAAATATGTAAGATATTTCAAATATATTGGTGAAGAGTTTCCTGCATGTTTTAAATCCAGTTTTGTCCCAACATAAATATGGCTTCTAGTAAATTTGTGAATATGAATATGTTGTAGCGAAAAAAATTTCAAAGCATTCTGAAATTTCAGAGTTTTTCTCAAATATCTGATTATTGAATTTCAATAAAAAATTTGGCGACCAATGTGAAAAAGTAAGTAAAAAAACAGTTCAACCTTGGGTAACAATGAACGCAGAAATAATGTCTTGGAATTGCCCCCATTTAAGGATACCGCTCCATTTGTGGTATTTTGAAGGACCTGTTTCAATATTTAACCGAAGTTGGTGTAATGTTGCATACCAAATTTTAAATGGACAGAATACGTCCTCGAAGAATGGGCCCATGTTTCGGCATAGTCCTCAAGAAAAGGTCCCTTTTTAAAGGGGTCCACATTACTCGAATTTTTATTTTAAAAACAATTTAATTTGGAAAAATAAAAGACCAGATAAGGTTTTTTTCTTCGAGAAGTTGATATTCAATGTCCTCCAGTGGTAACGAAAACTCAACGTACTACTAACAAGATTAAGAAAAACACATCGATCAATAAAACAAAATGGCGTCCACCTATTTTTGATTTTAATCTAAACATCAAATCCCTTATTGAATCGTTGAGAACCACTATTTAGGATTCTGAATTTAAAATCAAAAAAATAAAAGCAAACTTTATTTTGCTGACCCAGAAGTTCACACTTCGATGATGACTATCTTGAGAGCTAAGGAGATCCACTCATACTCGTTCACTCCAAAGGAAATGAAGCAAGTTGGTTTGGTCCTAAGAGAGCTATTACATAATGATCCCGTTGAGGTAAAGGCCGAATTAGACATTGGGGTCCGGAATACTGTGGCTTCGGTAACAAAATTTTCAACGGCAAACCATATAGGTTTATTTTTATTTTGCTGCCACAGGTTTATTTTTAGTGTCATTACTGCTTGCAGAAATATCGGCGATCTCCCATGTACAATCGCTATTTCTACAAGAAAGCCAAAGAATGAAGCCGGCGACATTCCATGTCATAGATGTCAGATATGGCCCCAACCATATCGCAAGCAAAAGATCGCCATCGGATTCCTCAGAACCATCGTAACTCAACACAAATCATTTTCCAGCTTTTTTAGGCAAAACACATAACAGTAACCATTCATTGTTGATTATTTTTGTAAAAAAGTTCATTCAGTATACAAAAACTCTTTTAAATGACGTTGGTATTAATACATGGCATAAGACTGGACACAATACATAATGGAATACAAAATAATTATGTACTGGGTACTGTATACCCCATGAAAATTTCATTTGGAGCCCGATTTGGGAACAATTCTGCAACTATGCTGTAACTTCGATGTTAAACTCGAGGTGTCACAAATGGAAAAGCTTTAAATTGATGGTTGCAAACAAATATTCTGGACGTTAAAAACATCTTTGATGCATATCCATCTTACTCAAATGGTCCATTATATTTAGATCACTTCCTAACAAGTAAAAGTTTAGTTGAAAGTAACTCGACAAACTTCAGCATTTCTTCATTGCCAACAATCGGACCATTCTCCATTATAGTTAAACCTGAAACTGAAATGTTCAGAAATTGTATTAAATACACCAAAAACCTTCATTTTATATAAAAATACAAACTGGGAAAACTTTCGGGCGGATTTTGAATTTGCATTATTGGATTTCATGCCACCTTCAGATAAATATCTGGCAAATCAGGAAATTGATGATTTTAACAGATGTTACAATACGGCCCATTATGCACACTATCAGAAAATAACGGTTAGCAATGTAAAGTTTCCTCTTTCTGAAGGATCAAAATGATTATATAAGATTAAATATCAATGGCAAAACAAAAATATTTCATTGAACTGGAAATCGAGAGTTTAAAATCCTTTCTAAACAAGTAAGTATTTTAAAGATTATTATAAAATAGTCTATATAACTCGAACAAGAAAATTTTTTTTTTAATTCTCGCCTGCAAAACATTAAACCTAGTCCATCCGCTTTTAAGGAAATTTATCGTTTCAGTGGCAACAAAAATTACCATTTTGCCAACATATTGTCGTTGATAATAAAAGAGTCACTAATTCGTCCGAAATACTTAGCTGGCTTGTTACAGAACGGTTGTTCCATAAGCCGAGTTTAAAAAAGATTTCCAATCGCGTCGGTCTTGTGTGCATCTCCTCATTCATTCGCACAACATGGCCTAGCCACCGTATGTCCGTGTAGAAACTGTAGCGCGCGTGATTCATTCGACGCAGATCGGCCCGTAGATATTTCGGAGAATTTTTCTTTCAAACACTAAGAGCTGCCTCATCTGCTTGCGCAAGTACCCATGCTTCAGATCCATATAATAGCACGGGTAGTATCAGCGTATTGTGAAGAGTGAGTTTGGTCTGGCGGGAGGTGGCCTTGTTTCTAAATTGCTTACTTAGACCCTAGTAGCATCTGTTGGCCATTACAACCCTTCTCCGAATTTCAAAACTGATGCCATTCGTTTTTATTTATGGTGGTACCAAGGTATATAAAATATTTAACTACCTCGAAGCTGTAGTTCTCAAGTTACACAGTTGGTCCGAGTCTACTGGACGTCTTGCGCGTTGATACCATCAGCTTGGTATTCTCGCCGTTTACTGCCACACCAACTTTGGCAGACTCCTTCCCAATTTGTTCAAAGGTGGCATTTACCGTTCGCAATGTTCGACCCATTATATCGTTGTCACCGGCGTATGCGAGTAACATGTGTTGTTTGGTGTACAGAGTGTCATTTCTGTTTACCTTTGTGTCTCGTATGACTTTTTCCAGCAGGAAGTTAAAAGATCACACGACAAACTGTCACCTTGTCTGAATCCTCGTTCGGTATTGAAGGGCTCCGATAGGTCCTTTCCGACTTTAACTACTTAAAGTTATCCTGCATAGCCGTATTAATTTTGCAGGAATGCCGAACGTAGACATGGTTTTAAACACCTCTGAACGGATAGGGCGGTCGAATGCGGCTTTATAGTCGACGAATAGGTGGTATGTGTCGATGTGTTTTTCCTGGGTCTTTTCCAGGATTTTCGCAGAGTGAAAATCTGGTCAATGGTGGATTTGCCAGGTCTGAAGCCGCATTGGTATGGTCCAATAATGTCATTGACCATTGGCTTCAATCGTTTACACAGCACACTGGATAGCACTTTATATGCGATGGGAAGAAGGCTAATTCCTCTATAGTTGGCAAATATCGTCTTATCTCTTTTTTGTGCACGGGACACAGGATGCTGAGGTTCCAATCATTGGGCATGCATTCCTCTAGCCAAATTGTACTAATCAGCTGGTACATGCTCCTGTCAACAAGTGAATCTACAGTTGATAAAACAGTACCATTAATATTGTATTGCCTTGTTAAAGTAGAAAATCTGGAAAACACATATGCTTACATTTGTTTAAAAAAAAAGCTATTTAATTAATTTTTAAGTAAATCAGCTACCTTTATAGAATTATGGGTGATATACAACTTAACATCGTCTGCATACATTAGCAACTTGGAATGGATTATTGCATTTGGCAAATCATTTATAAATAGAAGAAAGAGGAGTGGGCCTTCCTTGGGGAACACCGGGAGGAACATCAATGGATTTTGTTTGATGATCAAAATTACCTGTGATCTATTTCGCAATTAGGATGATATCCATTTAACTAAATTTATATTGAAACCAATTTGATTTAATTTATATATTAAAAGTGCATGGTTAACCCTGCCAAAAGCTTTACTGGAGTCAGTGTAAATTTTATCGGTTTGATTACGCTGAATTAAACCTTTTATGACGGCTGAGGAAACTTGTGTAAGATTGGTAATGGTTGAGAAGCCACTACGAAAACA